CTAGTTGGAAAGTCGGCGCTAGCGGGCCGTTGACTTGAACCCTAGTTGTCGCATTTTGGTGGAGGATCTGCACCCATCGCCTAAAACCGGGCCCAAATTTTATTTTTTCCAGACTTCTATCCAAAAACACCCAGTCTACATGATCATAGGTCTTTTCAAAGTCTATAAAGACCAGGGCCGCATTTTGTTTCCAGTGTCGGGTTAGCTGTAATACTTCATGTACCAATAGGATGTTCTCCTCTATGTTTCTACCCTACATGAAGCCGGTCTGGTCCGGGTGTATTATGTCCTCCATCAGTGGAATCATCCGATTGGCCAAGGCTTTTACCAACATTTTATAGATTACTGTAAGGAGGGTGATCGGGCGATAATTCCTTATATCCATGCTATCCCCCTTCTTATACAACAGGGTCAACACTTCCTGCCCCACTATCTCCCTCATTTCGGCACACTTCCTCGTAAAAGTCCATCACATCGTTGCTCATGAAGTCTCACGTGGCTTCCCATAACTTTTTGGGGAGCGCATCAATTGTAGGCATTTTTTCTTCTTCCATTTGCAGAGAGGCGTCTCCAAGAGTTCCTATTGTTCCTCTATCAGCTTTCTATCCACTGGCTCCAAGAATTCCTCTATCCTCCTGTGTTGGGCTTCACTCCCAACATCTGGTATGTGATATGAGAAAAGGTCCTTGAAAAAATATCGTGTAATTTTGGTGCATCTTGCAGTGGTCAGTCCTTTCGGGCCATTTTGATTGTCATTATAGCATTACGGGAAACTGTAGCAACCACATCCGTACTCAAGCCTCCAACAAGGGAACATGCGGGAGCCGCATCCACCAGCAGTTGTGATACTTGCTACAGCAGGTGGGCGATACCTGCCAGGGGTCAGCCGATAGCATCAGAACCGAGCTTCTTCGATGGGCCAGTCGTTGTACCTCCCCTCCAGTCCCCTCCCCCTATGAACATCAATAGTCTCTGCTCAATGCCACTCAGGAGGACTATGCTCTCTAGATTGGACAAGCAATTGAACTGGTTGGAATTTAAAATATATAAAAAAAATAGTGAGGGCCACCAACCGTTCAAGTTGGTTCCAGGCCCCCCAACCCCCAATTCTAAGGGTTGGATCCCACAAACTTTTTGTTGGGAATCTTGGCGAACTCTTGGTTATTCCAAGCAATCCAACTGTGTTCCCCCTCGTTGGGGACTAGGAAAGGAAGGCGCGTCTGCTAAAAAACGAGTGGATGGGTGCGATTTTCAGCCTCAAAATTTCTCTTTATTTTTTAGTAACCACAAATCAACTCCAAAATAAGACCCGAACCCCACTGCACAACAACTTGGGTTAGAAACATTATGGGAGCAGGGGCAAAATTCGTGCATCCGTCTGACAAGGGTATTATACAAAGATGGAAGCAAAAAAGGGCATTCCACTCTACCCACAGCCTTTTGCACAATGAGGCAATGAAGTTTTTTCTGAAATGCTCCTTTCTTCCTTCGCCATCTGCCCCTCCTCCGGGAAGGCATCATGATCTTCTCTGCCTATCCCACAACCTACCTATTGGGCAGGCATCATGATCGTCTCTGCCTGCCTGCCTGCCTGCCCCTCTCTCTCTCTCTCTCTCTCTCTCTCTCTCTCTCTCTCTCTCTCTCTCTCTCTCTCTCTCTCAGCAAACGACCATCGGGCATGCATCTTCTCCGCTTGCCCCACAACCACATTCCCCCCTCCTTCCCTTCCCCCCCCCTCTCTCTCTCTGTCTACTCTTTGCAAGGTGTATACAAGTCATCTGCAACATCAGGCCTCTCTCTGTGTCTTAAATCACCAGTACACTTGGGCCTGGAGACTCTCCACTGTGCGCAACACTTTTTTCTTTTTTGGTTGGCACCACCAATTACTGTGGTCCGGTAGGCCGGAGGCACGCAATTTTTCGAGTAGGTGACGAAACATTTTCTGCAAGGCCGATACCTTGTAATAACGGTTTAAAACTCGTTTTCAATTTTTGTTTTTCCCTTCTTATTTTTTCTCCAGGATAGATACAAAATTTCTTTGTCATTTCTTGTTTTATTTCCTTTCTTTCTCGCTCCTTAGTGAGTGTGTGTACAATTTTTTAGTTGTATTTGAATTTGCGCGTACGTGCATGCCTCAAAATTTATGCATCACCCTTCTTGTTGGTTTGCCTAACAAGTTTCTATCGCCTTTGGTTACGCACCATATCAGTTTCCCTTTGGTTACGCACAATGTTCTTAGGTACACGTAAGTTTTTATTTTTTGGTCTTTCCTACAAACTCTAAATTTTCAGCCCCTGCTTCTCTTATCTTTCTCTTTTTCTTGCTTCCTTTATCTTTCATATATGCCATCCCCCTTCTTTTTCTTGAAATCCTACCTCTCGCTCTTTTTCCTTTCTCCTGATTGGCCTAATGGCGTTGCATATCAGATTGTCATGTGGAGTATAACTATGTTTCCCCACATTACAGTTCACGATCCATAAACCTTTTCCAAGTCTCACTCTCCCTCCTCCTCCTTTGCGTTTTCCATACGCGCATGCAATCTCCCCACTTTGTGAAAGTACAAATTAGACATCTCGATCCGCGTACTTTTACTATTTTTAATGCAAGTTGTTAGATCGGGATTGACTATTGTTTGGTTGATTGGCGAGTCAGAAAGTCCCTACATGTTGATCGTGATCAAGCAAAGTTGTCTGACGGCTACGATGGACTACGGGGTCTGTGCGAACTTGGGCAGTGATTGGATCAGCAACGTGACAATCGCTCAAGAGTCCGAAAGGGTACATGAGAACATATTGTCAGCGCTTAGCACTATCCCTCCCGCTACATGATTACAATATCCAAACTGCGAGCTCTTGCTTTTTTGTATAACGATCGATGAACATACGTATGCAAACTTTATGTTGTTTCTCTCTCCTACCAAGCTTCGGTGCTTAGGGTTAGTTGGATCAAGCTTTATGTTTATTGAAACTTGTTTTCCCCTTTACTAACTCATCTTGCTATAACACGAGCTTACAGTTGTCCCGTGGGCCTCCAATGCGTCTTTTTCGTTGAATGCAATGTGTTTCGAGCATAGAAGTGAGGTTCACTATCTTCAACAAGGCTTTGCCGACACGACCCATATGAAGTAGGAAACTGCAAATGTAAGGCTCGACCACGACTTTCTGCTAGGGGCATGTAACCGTATATGCAACATTTTGTATAGCAAAGCAAAAGATTGATGATGAGATAACCATTCGTAAACCATTTTTTTTATAGTTTCGCATGACATAATTTTTTTTTTCCATAAGTGGATCGATTTTTGATTGATGTCGTCATAATCGGTGAACTGTGTTGTTGTTTTTCCTCTTTTTCTCGTTTATTAAACCCGTTTTTGAAACCAATGCATGAAGATTAAAACTTCAAACAACCAGTACACAGCTCCAGCCTTGCAGTCAGAGATTTGTTGCCACAAGAAAACGAGACCAAAACAAATGTTGGGGCCGACGTTGATAAATTAGACCTGAGGTTGCGTTACCGTCTCGTGCCTCCTGAATTTGAGGTGCCCAGCCCGCGGCCCAGGTGCCCATGTACTGGTGTTTTAACCCCCATCTTTCCAAAGTTAGTTCGCACACTTACTTTTTTGCAATTTCCCTGATCTATTAGTCTATTCGAACATGAAAGCAGCGTTGGATGTGAGGTTACATGTCACAACCCCCCCCCCCCCCCCTCTCTCTCTCTATGTGTGTGTGAACAAATGAAGGTGCGGGGCCTCTCTCGCGCGTTTAGATACCTGGTACGGGCATATGAATAATTTACCACGAAACGGTTCAACGACTAGAAGTACCAAGGTATCAAGAGGAGTCGAATAGGTCCCAATAGGGGCCTTGACAGGTCCAATTGACGAGTGAGCTATTCTAGGAAGTTTCACAATTGTGAGAAGGACATTACCCAATACCCCTCTGTTTAAGGGGTATTTAAAGAAGTACACCAACTTCCATAGGACTTTTACAAAATTGCCTTTTCTAATTTAATTATAGAATTATAATTTATTATTATTATTATTATCATTATATTCTTTTCTCAATTTTTTTTATTTTTTTTAAAAAAAAAGGTAAGTTGTACTCTTCTCTCATCTATCTCATTTTTCTTGATAGTACGCATCTATCTCATCCTCTCACTATTCTATATATAGTATATAGTATGGGGGAACACCAACGAACCCGGATCCCTCCCCAGCCCACAGGGTAGGTTGGCACCACAGCTGTGGTGCGAGGGCAAGGCTGTACCAGTCCCTCATCACGGTGACGAGGGGTGGGCAGGCATTGCCAATGGGGGAAATCGGCGGTGCTAGCGTCGAGCAATGGCCAGTCACTGCACCTCCCCCTACCTACCTACCACTACTCCTAAGGCTTCCCCTGCAAGCATAGCCCCCTCACAATGAAGGGATTGTATGTTGCCCCTTGCCAGGGTTAGGGCGCTTGGCTCACACAAAGACCAATCATTTTGCCAGTAGCTGCACCTCCCTTTTTATCTTCCCCCACCCCCATCTAGTAAGTGCAACCGTAACATAGATTTTGTATCCCTCCTGGCTGCTAATGGAGGCCATACCATATCGACTGAACCCCACTGGACGCAACCTTATGACCCCTCCGAGTACGGACATCTAGAAGCTGATATAAATGCCCCACTTATGGCCATATATGGGGGGCGCATGAAGTTTGCCAGGATGGTCTGGCCCGGTTGCAGCTCTGTTCATCAAAATTTGGACTGAACTGTGGCCAGATACATCCAGGTATGGCGTGATTGATACATTTGAGATACGGCTAGTGTGAGTACGTCCTAGCTTGCGAAGAGTAGCGTATGTTCTTCTCTCACTCTCTGCACATATATATTCCTCATCTATCTCATCCTGTCCCCCCGCGTAATGTACACAGAGCAGCGTTTTTTTTTTTTTTTTTTTTTTTTTTTTTAACAGGAGAGCTGCGTTTTCCGTGGGGGCTGACGGGGGGCATAAGGGGAACCAACGGGCCTAGCTCAGTTTGGTACACCCATGAACTGTTGAAATACGACCCCAATTTTTTACTATTATTATTTTTTTAATACGACCCCACGACCCCAATTTCGAATCCAGCTTGTGTAAGGAAGACAAAGCAAAAGCAAAACGGCGCCACTGTGAAGCACCGACCATCGTGCTCAGCATCACCTCCTACTGCGCGCAAAAAACTACCCTGCCGGTATGTATGGCAGACACGTGTTACCCCCCCAACGCCCCCCMCCCCCGCCAGGCCCCACAGGCGACTACCCCTCCGCTCATCTCAGTCCAGTTGGAATGAGTGAGGACAGCGGCAAAGAAAAACTACTCCTACTGCACGCAAAAAACTACCCTGCCGGTATGTATGGCAGACACGTGTTACCCCCCCAACGCCCCCCCCCCCCGCCAGGCCCCACAGGCGACTACCCCTCCSCTCATCTCAGTCCAGTTGGAATGAGTGAGGACAGCGGCAAAGAAAAACTACTCCTACTGCACGCAAAAAACTACCCTGCCGGTATGTATGGCAGACACGTGTTACCCCCCCAACGCCCCCCCCCCCCGCCAGGCCCCACAGGCGACTACCCCTCCSCTCATCTCAGTCCAGTTGGAATGAGTGAGGACAGCGGCAAAGAAAAACTACTCCTACTGCACGCAAAAAACTACCCTGCCGGTATGTATGGCAGACACGTGTTACCCCCCCAACGCCCCCCACCCCCGCCAGGCCCCACAGGCGACTACCCCTCCGCTCATCTCAGTCCAGTTGGAATGAGTGAGGACAGCGGCAAAGAAAAACTAAGTAAAGCAGAGAAACAGTGGGGTGCAGCTATTCAGTGATCGACAGAACTGCCCCGCTCTTGCAGCAGGTCTGGAATTGACTGACACAGGTCAGTCGTCTGCATCACTGGATCCATGGTAGACGGCCACGTGGCACTGCCTCCGCTGACAGGGGCTTGCCACGTGGCTGGCAATCGTGATGTCACTTCGTTTTGCTGGAGTTTGATAAACCGGAGAGAGGAGGGATGGGGGGGGGTTGGAGGGGGGAGAGGCCTGTCGCATTACGATCTACAACTCGCAGAAGAGCGAGCAATCAAAAAAGAAAACAACTCGGAAAAGAGCGAGCAATCAAAAAAGAAAACATCTCGGAAAAGAGCGAGCAATGAGCAAAAAGAGAAGCGCCCCCCCTCCAACCAACCAAAAAAAAAAAAAAAAAAAAAAAAAGAGTGCGAGGATTTTATTTTATTTTTTATTATTTGTTCCTTTTCTTGATTTATGCGAGTTATCCTTGAAAGCGCAGGGGCCATTTTGCTAATTACCCTTCTGTGTATCGTTCCAATCTGTTTAACGGATGTTCCGAAGGACGCGAGGATTTTCTATTAATTGGTTGGGGGGGGGGGGGGGGGGGGGAAGAGGGGAAAACTCGAAAAGGCAAAGATGCAAAGATTGGATCTGATACGATTGATTGATTGGTTGATTGATTGCTCGATCGATCTGATTGATTGGTTGATTGGTTGATTGATTCAGTGGTTGATTCGATTGATTTATTGATTATGATCGATTGATTGGTTGATTTTGGTTATTTGATTGATCGATTGATTTGAATGATATTTGATATTTGATGGATTGATAGATTCGATCGATTGATTGAGTTTGATGATTTGATTTGCTGTAATTGTCGTGTAAGTGCTGGATCCATGGATCGATTGATTGATTTAAGGAAGGAGAATGGCATTTTCCGAGTAATGAATTCTTTCCGTTATCTGCATATCGGTGTTGTTGTGAGCCTCTATGTGGTCCACAGGGAATCTTTCCACGGTTGCAGGAGCGGGTTGCGCGCCACGTGGATTCAATGATCAGGAGGTGGGGGAGGTTTATTTTCTTGTGCGAGCAAGCGCGCAAAGCCAGTCGTGTGCTCGAAGACGAAGCATTGTCATTGTCAGCAAAGTTGCCCACTGCTTGATCGAAGAAAGAAGCAGAAGTCGAAGCAGAAGTCGAAGCAGCAGCAGCACCACCACCACCAACCACAGCAGCAGCAGCAGCAGCAGCAGCAGCAGAAGAAGAAGAAGAAGATGCCGGCGCTCCCTGCGCCAAACGAGAGAACCGTGTGCGAAATCAGTCGGACTTTGTGTAAGATTACGGCAAAAAGGGAAACGAGAAAAATCTCAACCTCGTTAGCTTTCTGTTTTTGAAAATGTGGTCTGATGTCTGCGCTCTCGTACGTGAGCAGACTACCAAGCAGTCACTTGTGTGTGTGTGTGTGTGTGTGTGTGTGTGTGTGTGTGAGAGAGAGAGAGAGAGAGAGAGAGAGAGAGAGAGAGAGAGGCCCCATATATTCTTTTGGGAGCAGCTGATTTTGTACTCGTGTAGTCTCAGTCTGCCAATCTTGAATTGATTGGACGTGGCAACCATCTGGCGATCTTCTTTCCGCACCGGTTCTTCCGATCTCTCCGTTACGATGATCACCGAAGTGGTTGCCACGTGGTGCATTCTTGATCACCCCCCCCCCCCCCCCCCCCCCCCCCCCCCCCCCCCCCCCCCCCCCCCCCCCCCCCCTTTCCCAAACCCAAACAACGACACGCCACGTTCTTTGCGGCGACCTGGCAGCTGTCAGGGTTTTCGTTTTCTCCCTCCCCTTTTTGTGTTCCTGACCCCTTGCCGATGTGGCATGATGTTAGGATCACCGGGTGAGATTTCAACTTGTGTGTGTGTGTGTGTGTGTGTGTGTGTGCACGTATATACTGGTAAATAAAAGTATATATATGTATGTTGAGAGAGAGAGAGAGAGAGAGAGAGAGAGAGAGAGAGAGAGAGAGAGAGAGAGAGAGAGAGAGAGAGAATGGAATTTTCATTGTGTGTGTCCGTTGGGGACTGGCTACACTGGTTCGCACCTCCCACCTTTTCATTGCCTGCATGTATGGTCCTCGAGGAAGAGGTTGGGGCCTCATTCAGTCGTCGAGTTCATAAAGGTTGGATTCATATTGTCGCACAGTAGAAACGAAAAAAGAGCAAGGGAGAAAGAAAAGAGGAAAAGGGAGGAAAGGCAAAGAAAAAGGGGGTGCTGAGACTAGACTATCGTCTTCCACCGAATAGAAGGGGTGTGGTCACTATAGCTGTATTTGGACCGACTTAGTCTCCATACAGCGATAATGACCGTACGTTCTATTCGGGGGAAGACGGTAGCTACTCCGCTCATTCCTGTATGTCGGATTGATTGTGTGTATATATATAGTCGGTGAAACTCCGACGAAACAGTTTGGCACAGCCCCTCGTTTGTTGTCCTCTTCTCTCTCTCTGCCTACGGTTTACCGGGCAGTTCTATTTGTGACGATATATATGACAATTACTATACGATGCAATTTCTGCCCCCCTCCCCCCCTCCCCCCTCCCACCCCCGTCTTTGTGGCAACTGGATTAATTTACCAGTTGGGTTAATTATCCAGTTAACTGGATTAATTAACCAGTTGCAGAGTAATTAACCTTGGCAGATGGGGAAACAGGTTCGTCATGTATGTGAACTGAAGGTGTGTTTCCTGCAAATTGGATCGTCAGCTTTTTTAGTTTTTTTATTTTTATTTTTAATTTTATTTTATTTTTTTGCAAAAGCAGTTGTTTATTGCGGGCCCAGTGCCCAAGGCAACAATGGAACAGAAACAGTCTGGAAAAAAGCAGGGGCCCCAAGGCCTCTCCCCTTCCACCTCAGGAGCATGGTCCCACTAGCAATGGGGATTGGATTAAGATCCTGAATCCGGGCGTGTTTTAGGCAGAGATGCAGAAAAGGAGTTCAATCTCGATTTTCTGCACCTTTCTTCAAACAAGTCTAGATTCAGGTGTTCAATCCAATCCTCTTTGCTAGTGGGACCTCGCCCCAGGCAGAGCCTCTCCCTTGTAGTGTGGGCAATCGAGTGTATCCTACAGAAAAGAGAATCCAGAAATATAGAAAGCTATGTACAAATAGATACAGCCTAGAAGAACAGCTTTTTTTTTGTTTTTTTTTCTTTCTTCAAATTGCATTATCTTCTTTCTGTTTTTTTTTTTGGTTAGAGTATTATTGATTCAAGCAGGTGCGTTTATTTTTCGTTTTTATTTTAATTTGTGTCATATTAAATAAATCCCCATGACTCGTGGCTACTGCTTTGTCAGCTTGCATGTGTGTCTATCGCACGTCGTCACTGTGTTCGAGTTGGTAGACAATTTCTGTGCCTTTTTATTCAAAAAATTCAAAAAAATCAAAATTTCATGTCATTGAAAATAGAGGACTTCGATAACAACGAAAAAAGAAGAGGGAAAAAAAGGGAAAAAAAACATTTGAAAAAGAGAAAAAATGGAAAATTGAAAATAAAGACGGAAAAAGGAGAAGGAAAAAAAAGAAAAAAAGAGAAAAAAAATCAAAAAGCAAGAAAAAGGGAGGGGGAAAAAAAAAGTAGAAAGGAAAAGTGGAAGCTAAACACACCCATGACAACATGCGTAGTAAAAGAAAAAAAGAAAAGAAGAAGGGGAAAAAAAAAGAAAAACAAGGAAAAAAAAGAAAGAAAAAAAAGAAAGGAAAAAGTGGAAGCTAATCCTGAATCACACCCATGACAACATGCGCAGTAACTTTCTCTCAATAATGACACTTGGGGGGGGGAAAAATAAATAAACAAAGGGGAAAAAATAAGTTAAGACTTTCTCTGACGTTGTTTTGTTGGTGGTGCGTGCGTTTGTTTTGTGGCTGTGGCATAAAATAAAATAAAATAATAAAATAATAAATGAAATTATTTAAATCTCATAAAATATAAGTGGTTTCCACGGGCGATGGAGACAGGGTGGCGCAAGAAGCTTATGGCAAAATCTTGGTAAATATATTCTTACATCCATATTTTTAAATCCAAAAAAATATCCAAATTAGAGGAGGGAGGGAGGGAGGGAGGGAGGGAGGGAGGGAGGGAACAGAAATACCCCCCGGGTTGGGTAGCTGACATTATGCAGGTTCATCACGCAGGGTTGGAAGCTTTTTGTCTTCGACTGTCGATTTAGGGTTTTTCTGTATGTTATCCAGGAAACGGGCTTGATTCATGGAATTGAGACGGTTTCTGCGACCAGATACTGATTGTTTGGCCCTAGACAGATGGCTCCCTATACCCACCAATGTACCGATGGACCTGTGCTTGGTCCAGTCTCACGTTAGGACTATTTCTCTTTTTGCCTTCTCCCCTGTCCCTTGGCTCTCAGAGGGCTGAAGTAAAGTGTGCGCTATGTTTCTTTTTTTTTTTTTTTTTAATAATTAGATTAGATTATATTATATATATATTGACGATATATATATATATAAACTCCGACGAAACAGTTTGTCACAGCCCCTCGTTTGTTGTCCTCTTCTCTCTCTCTGCCTACGGTTTTACCGGGCAGTTCTGTTTGTGACGATATATATTCACTAATGCGTGCGCTATGCTTTTTGCCACCGTTTGTTAGTTGTAGCAATTGCAATCTCTCTTTTTTTCTTTTTTCACCTTTCCTCCCCCCAGGTTCTGGTTCTGTTCATTTTTCTTGCTCTCCCCCMCCCCCCCCCTGGTCTGTTCTTGTCGTCCCCCCTCTTTTACAGTGCTTTTGTGATAATTGTGCTGGTTGTTCTTACCAGTGAGTGGGCAGCTCTTTGAGATTCTAGCTGTGTGGTCCCGCATTTGTGGTCCTTGTTTTCTGATCCTTGTTTGGTGGTTCTGGTTTTATGGTCCTGGTTTTGCGGTCCTGGTTTTGGGGTCTTGGTTTTTGTCGGTCTGGTTTCGTGGCTGTGGTTGTGGTTTCTGTGGTCCTGTTTTTTTGGTTCTGGTTTTGTGGTCCTGTTTTTTTGGTTCTGGCCTGTTTTTTTGGTTTTTGTTTTGTGGTCCTGGTTTTGCGGTGCTGGTTCTGAGATTCTGGTTTTGCGGTCTAGGTTTTGTGGTCCTGGTTCTGTGGTCCGGGTTTCATGGTGTTGGTTGTGGTTCTGTGGTGCTGCTTTTGTGGTCCTGGTGGTCATCCTCACTCCCTTTGTTGCTTTTGTGGTCCAGGGTTGCACGTACCCGGATATTATCATCGGAAGGGCGGACTTGCCCGAGGCCGGGCTAGAGTGTGCTCCAACAGTGCAGATTGTTGGCGAGTATGTGCGGGGCCTTCCCATTGAAGAGAACCCTGAGAGGGACCCAGCTGTGCTTGCAGAGATGGACGTGGCTGATGACATGGCAGGGGAAGACAGATTAGTGGACAACGTAGCTGAGGTTGTTCCACGTGGTGTTCGGAGAGCGCTCAGTAAAGGTGTGGAGTTGGCTGGTCGATTCATCAGCAAGATACAGAGCGGCAGTGCATCCGCTGCAAAGGTGGGGTCCGGGGAGGTGGTCCCACATGGGTCTTGGGACACCACATGGGACTAGATGGGACCAAAACGGTCTTGGGACACCACAAATGGATATATGCTCTGGTCTGATGTTCCGAGAAGTACTCGCCCCATTGATGACCACCTCCTACCTCCTGCTGGGTTTGGTGGGACAAACCAAATGGGCCCAAAGGGGTCTTGGAACACCATATGGATTTATGCTCTTATCTGATGTTCGGATTCCATGTGTGGGACTAGAACTGGTCATCAATGGGACCAAAGGGATCTTTGAACACCACACGGATAAGAACTGGGCCCATTGATGAACCACCTCGCATCTCCTCCGGAGTGTGGAACAAACCAAACGAAACGAGATGGAACTAAAACCAAGTGGAACCTACCGTGCAACTGGACGGCGTGGAACCAACGGGAAGCAAAAGGAACCAAATGGAACTGAATGGAACCAAATGGAACCGAATGGAACCGAGTTGAACGGAAAGGATGGAACCTGATTGGACCAGATGGAACCAAATGGATGGAATCGAGTTGCACTAGATGGAACCAAATGTTGTGCTTCTGATATCATTTCTCTGTCAATTTTGCAAGTGAGGGTGCATGGTGTGTGTGCACGATCTGAAATTACCCACACGGCAGGTTCCCGTTGCAAAGATAACAGTTGGAACAACAATCACTTTGGAAAAACAATCAAAATAAGGTACACGGCTGCTACTACACGCCTTTAAAGTTTAAACTTTAAAAGTTTAAACCCCTTGTGAAATTTGAAACCCCCAGGCTGTTTGTCCAGGGTGCCCGGGAACCCATCATCTTGTGCCCGGATACACACCCGGGTCCCTGGCCGCGCATGAACCCTGGGCAGGGTTCCCAGCAGCCCCAGCCCAAAAGAAAAAGAAAGTAAAAAACAAATGCAAAGAGTTCGGGGGAAAAAAAAATGTTGTGTAGAATTGCAATGCAAAGTCGCAAACGGCTTTTGGCCGAGGGTCACATCAGAATTCCTCGCAGAATCGAAGATGAAAAAAGAAGACATGAACATAATCAGACCAAGGCACCCCTCTTGAACCCTTCAGCCCCTTAAAACCCAGCCAATTTATACCCCCCTTCCCCCCCCTTAAAACCCAGCCAATTTATACCCCCCCCCCCGCCCCCCCCCGGTTGACAGCCAACACTCAAAAAAAGAAAGGAGCCCAGATTTGGGCTCCTCTGGGCATGCGTGGAAAACTCAAACCCGAAAAAAAAAAAGAAAAAAAAAGGGCAGTGGCCTGCCCCGTGTAGGTGACCCCCGGGCGACGTGCCCAGGCTGCACGGCCGTGCTGCACGCCGGGCAAGCCAAGTAGCCTAGGTTGAAACCTCGTTTATACCCTCTTTTCCTCCCCCCCCCTCTCTTCTCTCTTCTCAACCAAAAAGCCTGCACTCAGGCTGATCTTGGTGGCCACAGAATTGCCGCGTCGTTACTGGAAAGGGGGGAAAAAAGAAAAGCCTCCTTTTTCACCTGGACGTGGTCTTACTGGACAGGCATGCTGAGTTATACCCAATCAGAAAATCCAGGGAAGTGGAACCTCGAACCTGGTCACGGGAGTCAGAATGGCTGATGAATGGCGAAAGGATTTTTTTGTGCTACAGTAGGCACTAACAAGCTTGATGACAAATAATTTTTTGTTTTTTAGTATTTTTTATCCATTCATCTTTCTCTTATTCTAGGAAAGAACAGGGTTGATAACTAATAATTTTCTTTTTTTGTCTTTTTTCTTTCCCCCGTCGTGTAAGGATTGCTCAGATTTCGGCGTACTTGGACTTGTGTTGCTTCAAGTATAGTAGTATAATAGAGTTTTAATAGTACCATTTGTTTCCCATTTTATTTTATTTTTCTCACCGCGCTGGTTTTGTCTTCTAGCAGTTGTTGGAGTTGCTGAAGGCATTGAAAGCTGGAAGTTAAAAAAAAAGAAAAGGAAAAAATATTTGGAGAATTTTGGATCATTTCTCGATTTATGTGTGCCGTCCGTATCGTTCCAATTTTAACGGATGTCCCGATGGACGACAGCTGGAAGTTCTATGTGGATAGATAATAATATATTTGGCAGTGAAAAAGTTTTATGTGGATAAACAATGTTATTAATTTAATATAATATATATAGAATTCATTTTTGTCGAAAATAGCCTGAATCATCGTCCTATCATCCCACATTTTCTTGTGTTGTTCGTTCTTCCCCGTTGCTGGGGTGTTTCGTTTTGCGGGCCTACTGTATGGTTCCGTTTTTTTTTTTTTTTTTTTTTTTTTTACTATGGATATGGTAGATCTGTTGTGGTGTGGTAACCTTGTCTGCATCCCGGTTGGTTTTGTCCCGTTGTTTGGTCTATTTCACGAGCGTAGCGGTGCTTCATGTGGGACCCGTCATCCGTTTTTTTTTTATTGTCTTGGCATCCTGGTTGGTTGTTTCCCGTTGTTCGGCCTGCATGGGGGCGGTGCTTTTATGTGGGAATCGTCA